CTGACTGAGCATGTCTGTCTCCGAGTACAGAGCACCTGTATGAACCCAGGACTGGGCGGGGTCCTGTGCATTGTTGCCGACTGCACAAGTATTACTTCGGGTGCAGCATGAAGTCTTGAGCCCATCGTTTCCTCCCTTCAGTGGCTCAGTCACAGGAGGGAGGGCTGCTCACTCGGATGTAGTTAGGACAACTCGATGCTATGGTTCCCGCACATTCTCAGGCAGACACCCCTGGACAGGGCCCCACGCTGATGCAGAACGGAGGCCCTGTTCCAGCACTAGTGGGTTGGTAAGCTCTCATCCTCTCAGCATGCCTAGGAGTGGGGTGTATTCTTCCCGTCTTACAGAGGCAGGTGACACCCTGGCCCAAGGTCACACAGCTACCGAGTGGTAGGGTGTGGGCTTCTCAGTGTTTCTGTACAGATTTATGGTAAAGAAGTAGCTTATCAGACTTTCTGCTTTAAGAGTCAGTGCCAGGTGTGCCTGGTCCCGTAGGGAAATCCATTCCGTGGGTGGTTCTGCTGTAGAGGCAGCCTGCGGGGAGGGAGCTTGGGGGTGGCCAAGGCACCACTGTCCTTCCCAGGGGAGAAGTGGTGAACCAGGACGACCTGTACGAGGCCTTGACTAGCGGGCAGATTGCGGCTGCTGGGCTGGATGTGACAACCCCGGAACCGCTGCCCACAGACCACCCGCTCCTGACCCTGAAGAACTGCGGTGAGAACTGTGATTTCCTGATGCGGAGTCACCCGGGCCTGCGGGAGTTAGAGGCGGTCTGGAGGTGCTGGGTGCAGAGCTGCCGTGAGCGGCACCGAGCACGGGGACACAGGCGGAAGGGAGATGTTGAGGCTGTTAGTGACACCGGCACACTGCAATGCGGGGCAAGGCATCATAAGAACTGATGCCGCAGGGCTGAGGACCACACGTGGATGCTTCTTAGCCTCCCCAGCTACTCTACCTGGTTAAGAGCTCTTTATATTAAGTTCTGTCTCCCCAGGGAGCTAGTGTGCTGTCTCCAGACTCATATAGGGGCTGTGTCAGTCCCTGTCTTTTGTGTACACTCTGGGATGGAACCCCGCACAGAAGGTCCTTAGCTGCCTGTCCACGGGGAATGCCCCCATTATTGTAGCCCTCGGAAATTCCACTGTCCCCACCGTCCTCACCAGGCTGAAAGGAGGAACATTGGCGCTCACGTCTGGGCTATTGCCCACAGCTGGGAAAACCGTCCCATCCCTGCAGGCCCAGCACTTCAGCTCAGTGCCCTGGATACTGCTTTCGAAAGATGTTCTTTGGGGACAAGTGACCTCACTCGTATCTGGGTTTCAGTAGCCCCAAGTCCCTATATCATTCCCCTGACCCTCAGCCCCATAGGAGTGGAGCGCGTAAGGACAGTGGCCAAATCAAAGAGCACTAAGCAGGTTCTCTTTATTCTCACTGACAACCCCTGGTCAGGAAAACAGGGCCCACTTTAAGACTCTGGAAACACCCTTACCTCCCTCTGTTCCTCCCCTTTCCAGTGATCCTGCCCCACATTGGCAGCGCCACCTATGGAACCCGAAACACCATGTCCTTGTTGGCAGCTAACAACTTGCTGGCTGGCCTGCGAGGGGAGCCGATGCCCAGTGAGCTCAAGCTGTAGCGCCAGGAGCCGCTGAGGGTCAGGAGGCCCACCGTGCCCCTGGAGTCTGTCAGCGGAGGCTTGATCTGGACCCACAGGACAGGAGCCAAGGGAAAAATGTCTGATCTGTTCTGATCCTGCAGAAGGAAGACTGGTGCTGATACACAGGCTTGCTGCTTTTGTGGTTGGAAACATCTGAGCCAAAAGTATGTGATCCTATTAAATAATTCTCTGAGACAGTGTGGGCCTGTAACTGGGAGAAGCTAACAAGGGCATCTGCTTACCTTTTTTTTTTTTTTTTTTAATTTATTTATTTGACAGCTAGGGATCACAAGCAGGCAGAGAGGCAGGCGGAGAGGGGAGGTGGGGGTAGCAGGTAGCAGAGATAGCTGAGCAGAGAGCCTGACATGGGGCTTGATCCCAAGACCCTGGGATCATGACCTGAACCAAAGGCAGAGGCTTTAACCCACTGAGCCACCCAGGCGCCCTGCTTACCTTTCTAAAATCAGGGCATCTGGTGATGTGTGGGCTCTGCTCTGCCCCCAACCCTCCCCCGCAACCCCCGCCAGCATGTGAGCTATTAGAACCTGTCCAAACCACCTTACCCCTCATGTCCTCCTCGACTCCTTCACTTGTCCCTCACCGGGGATGGGACAACCATGGCCCAGTGGTGACCATGGCACTTGCTACCTAGACCATCCAATTAATACACATGGCGAAGAGAAGCAGGTAAGGTCATAGTACTCTTACTGTTTTGGCCAAGAGTAATTAGAGGTAGGTGAGTTTAATTTTTATTTAAAATCTGTTTCAGCACCTTCACACTTTGCACTCTTTGTCCATCCCCTCCGCCCCTGCCCCCAGGTCCTTGTTCAGATCACCACCTGACTTACTGCTTTACTCCTCCCGAGGCCAGGCCTCCTGCATGGCCAGAGCCCCGCTCCCGCCAAGGGATTCAGGTTCCGGCTCTTCCCCATGGCCAAGATGGAGCTTTCACCCTGGCAGGCAGGTATGGGAGCAGCAGAAAGCGCAGGGTGCAGCAGGCTGTCCGAGAGGAGGACTGGGTGTGCTGAGAACACCCGTGGCTTCGGCCCAGACAGAGTGCAGGAAGAGCAGAGGGACTGAATTGAGGGCAGTGACAATAACTGTGATGGCCACCATTAAGAGTATTTTGGAGGAGGTTTGTTTTTTTTTTTTTTTAAAGTACTGGTCAAAGCAGGGTTAGGGGAGAAAGCCATATTTCCCTTTTTTCTTTCAACCTTAATAACCTAAGCAAAGAAAAAACACATAGTTAGTTAGAGGCATGAATGTGACAAATTTTTTATTTCAAAATCTCGAATTTTGACCAGCATAGCACCACTGACTTGGGTGCCCTGATAGAACCTTGTGACTTGCCCACCAGAAATGACCATGCCAGGCTATAATTAAGGCTAACCAATCAAAATTCAGGTACCCAAAACCAGTTCTAATTCAGGTAGAAACTACGGATCACAGGAACCCTGAGACTGGTTTTGCAGGGAACCTCTGAATTATTTTTAAGTTTTATAGCATGTATGAGGACACTGGCCCAAAAGCTTGCTTCTCACATGTAGAGACTGATCAACTAAGAGGTAGATGAGAGATTCCAGACTCCATCTAGCAGTGGAGAGGCGGGGCTCCAGGCGCTGTATCAGAGACAGGCCCTAAAGCCAGGTCCACTGAGGCTGAACTGAGGTGAGGCGCAGCCGCCCGGCCCCTCCCCCCCAAGATGGAAGGGAAGGAAGGAGAGTACCCCTGCTCTTCCCGCTGCCACTGGCTCCTCTCCCCAGGCCCAGGCAGGGACTCTCTTGTGTTCCACCTTGACCCACCTGCCTCCCAAGGTTAATCTTCCCATAAGATGCTGGTCCCCACATCTAGTACAGGGGTAGATGAGGAACCCCCCCACATCCAATCAGAACACAACTCTAACAACAGCCGCACGCACAACAGCATTTCACACGTGATCCCATTATCCTCCAGCAGTCTCTTTCCCACGTCTGCTGGAAAGGGGAGGAATCACAGAAGTTTCCTTTTTGGCTTTCCTCCCTGGGAATCCATTCACAGGAGATGCTAAGCCTGACTATGAACAATGTGAGTTTATCCACAGACAGATGTGTAACTGCACACACTAGATTACGGGGAGAAAACGCATGCTGATTGTTTTGGGCTACACGTACTTTGCTTTCTAAACAGTTCTAAGTAAGAACCGAAGGACTTCTTTTGATTACGCACAGTGGTTTGGTGTCTCTGAAAGAGCTGTGTAAAACATGAACTCATGTTCATGCATGAATTAAATGGAATCCGTGAGCTCTCCAGAGACCCTGGATGCACACAAGTCCGGGCTCGGCTTTGCACAGGTGCCACTGGCAGCCCTGAGAAGTGAGGCAGCAGAATCCTCGGAGGCCCCGGGCAGCGGCCCAACTGTGTTCTCCGTCTCAGGTGCTACTGGGTGACTTCCATGCTCTGGGCTCCCAAACTTTCTTACAAAGTCTGGCAAATATTTATCTGGGAATAACACTACTATGTTTGGATTTTAAACAATTTGAAACATTCTCGGTCTTAGGTTGGGGCAACAATGATAAAAGCTCAGGGTCTAGACTTTAAGACTACAGTATATAAAAGTGATAAACGGACGGTGGAAAGGGATTAGCATCATTTTTGGTTAGTTTGCAACAAAAACAGTAATGCAGGCCTGGACAAGAATGCCACACGGGGCAGGGAGCGCGGAGAAGCAAAGCAGAGAGCGGGCCTGTTGCAGGTGAGAGGTGTCAGGCTGGACGGGACCCCAAAGCCTGGACGCAGCGAAGGGTGAAATGCACCATGAAAAGATCCCACAAAACAGGACTCCACATTATTAGAACAATGACAAACACTAGCTCTTCTCTGACTTCCAAACATGGAACTGTAACATATGTAATACAAGTTGGGTAAAATACCGCTAAAACAGCACATACAGAAACAACACCTTACTTGCCACTCCCTACAGTCCATACTCCATTTACAACTGTGTTTTTAAAACCAGGAAAAACTGTTAAAACATCTAGCCAGCAGTAGTGTTTTCCAAAAGTATGTACACCTAACAGTCCAGAGAATGCTCGCTCTGGACCCAGTGTCAGCACCATCAAAGTGCAGTGCCTGTGACTGCAGTGGAGACGAAAATTAAAAATACAGTACTGAGGCCTAGGCCTAGCTCATGATACACTTTAAAGCATTCGTGGCGGACAGGCGTGTCCTCAAGGGCCCTCCTTTCAGACAGGCACAAGCTCGCCACTGGTTACATGTAAGTGCGTTCTGCATCGCTGTACAGGTATATAATATTCCCTTCAGAGGATATAGGAAAGTTACTTAATGCTTCAGAGTTCTACAAAAATTGCTAAAAAAATTTTTTTGCACTTCCATTTTTAATTTTTTAAATGTGCCACTTTTAACGCCATGAATTACAAACTACTTTCTGACTGCTTTACTCAGCCCTAAGGAAGAACTCGGTTTCAGGGATCATGTCCCTCTCCAAAAGCCTGCATCTCGCTCCGAGAAGCAGCAGCGGCACAAGTGCTCCGCGTGTGAATTCTCCACTTACTAGTCACCGGAATTTGCATGAGCCGTCGGGGGGCCGGAAGCCTCAAGCCCGATGGCGTTCACCACCAACCAGAAGAGCCGTCCGCTTCAGTCGGACAACGGGCACTGGCCCGACATCGAGGGGTCGGGGTTAGAGCAAAGTGCTGGGGAGGTTGCTGCTCTGCCAGCGCAGGCACGTGGTCTTCGAGTGTTTATACAGGTGGCTGGACTGACTGAACCTCTTGCCGCACTTGAGGCAGGCGTAGGGCTTTTCCCCTGTGTGAACTCGGATGTGCTTCTTGCAATCCGTCAGGGTCAGAAAAGTCTTGCAGCAGATTTTGCAGGCGTACTTGCGAGCGCCCTCTACAACCAAGACGTTGTGCTCGGACAAGGCCTTCTTGCACTTGGACAGGACATCAGCGGACGCCCTGGTCAACTGTGGAGGGCCGGGCTGCGAAGGATGGCCATTTTCAAATGAGGACGTGGCCGCGTTCATCATTAGCTGGGAACTGGCCGAGTTTTCTGGGATCTGGGAGCTCCTGACAGACGTTACGACTGGCATTTTGGGAGCTATGCGTCGGTAGTATGGAAAGTTACTGGCTCCTCCTCTCGGGGAGCCCATCATGACCCTGGAGAAGGAGGAGTGGAGGCCCAAACCAGACCTGGAAAAGTCCATCCCAAACTGTTCTCCTCCTTGGTAGCCTGAGGTCTGCACGCAGGGCAGGCCCATCACTTCTTGCATAGGCCTGACGAAATGGGAGTCTGCAGGCTCGCTGAACGGGTTCTCCACGTGAGAGCCAGGGGCTGAAGAGGGCCCGCCCGCGGGCCCAGCCTCCGGACTCAACAAATAAGGGGCCTCCCCCTCCAGCCTACAGTCACTAGTAGTGTTTGGGATATTATCATCATTGTTCTGACTTGCACTAAAGTTACTCCCTCTGCTCTTGTTAAGAAAACTTGAAATGCTGAAAGTGGATTTGTGCTCCAGGTTATTTGTGACTTCCAAAATATGGATGTCACCTACCCTGTCCGTGCTAGACTGGGGATCTGAAAAACTCCGATCACTACTTTCAGGGCTGAGGTCTATCTTCTCGGCACTGACCACAACCCCTTCCACTTCCACAGATTCGCTGCCTTCTGCTTGGGAGGTCACATCGCTCACTTCATCCTGAGGCTCAGGAGAGCTCAGGGGCTCCGACTTAACCACCACTCTCATGTGCTCCTTCTCTCCGAGGCCAACCTCGGGATTTTCACACTGAAAACCACTTTTCTCAGCAGCAGCGTCCTGCTCAAAACTAGTCTCAACCTGAGTTGCACGAGAGGCCATGGACAACTGGGCCATGTTGCCAGCAGTGTTGTCGGACTGGCTGGGCACCTGGGCGTCTTCTTGAGCACCAAAAGACTGGTCAAACATGATGGCACTGTCTTCCTGGTTGTCGGCCATTCCGTCAGCCTTAGGGTTGTCCACGATTTTCAGAGAATCCGGTGAAAAGAACTCCTCCCGAGAATGAACCCCTGACGGCCCGTTCTCTGGCGTGACATCAGCAATGGCAGACTCATCCATGGCAGGCCGGAGGCGCTGCCTGGCCCGCTCCTCTGCAGACTGCTTGCGCTTATGAAGGCGTCTCATGGGGAAGGGCGTCCGTTGGTCCAGGTTACTGCGCAGCGAAGAGCTCATGGGGGCCGGCTGCTCCTCGCCGCTCTGGCTGGAACTGAGGGCTGAGCTCACGATACTTAGCCCCAGCTGCTGCAGCATAAAGGAGCGCTGCATGCGGGCACTCTGCTCCTGGACGCGCTCGCTGGGGGGAGACATGGGCAGTGTCCTTGTCGTTAAGTAATGTTTACATGCCTTAACAACAGAGTTCAAATGCAGGTGAGAGGCTGCCAATAAGACATCCATAACGTTGCTCTCCCCCAGCATGAGCGTGGAGGTGTACATCATGTCAATCAGTGCGGCAAAGGCCTCCGCTGTCACTACCTCGCTATCCAGCTGGATCATGTTCATGGTCTGATCTCCCTCTGCCACTGAGAAGAGGGCTCGGAAATGCGTGCTGCATGCCGCCAGTACCGAGCGGTGGGCTTTAAAATGTCTGTTCCCCACAACAATGACACAATCACAGAGCTGCCCGTGAAGTCTCTGGTAGTTCAGCTGCTGGAAGATCTGTTCAAAGTGTCCAGGAAAATCCATGATCCTATAGAAAGAACAAAGAAAGAAAGCATTAAGACCTTAGAAAAGCTGAAGCCAAAGTCAGAGCACAGAGGATGTGATGAAAAGAGACGTGGACAGCCAAGCTTAGACTTTTTTTTTTTTTTTAAAGATTTTATTTATTTGACAGAGGGAGATCACAAGTAGGCAAAGAGGCAGGCAGAGAGAGAGAGGAGGAAGCAGGCTCCCTGCCAAGCAGAGAGCCCGATGCGGGACTTGATCCCAGGACCCTGAAATCATGACCTGAGCCGAAGGCAGAGGCTTAACCCACTGAGCCACCCAGGCGCCCAAGCTTGGACCTTTTTTTTAAGATTTTATTTATTTATTTGACAGAGAGATCACAATTAGACAGAGAGGCAGGCAGAGGGAGAGAGGGAAGCAGGCTCCCTGCCGAGCAGAGAGCCCGATGTGGGACTCGATCCCAGGACCCTGAGATCATGACCTGAGCTGAAGGCAGCGGCTTAACCCACTGAGCCACCCAGGCGCCCCAAGCTTGGACCTTTTAAAGCTTTTGATATTTTTCATGATGGCACGCAGACTAAAAACCTGTCAAATAAGGAACAAATGCCAATTCAGCTAACAACCCTGGAAGCAAGAAGACACATGGTATCAGCCACTAGCTGTTTACGGGCTCCCCTTCACTCTTCGCAGGACCCATTTTTAACACTTAGGGACCCATGTTAGAAAAGACCAAAGTTTAAGTTTAATGGCTATCCCATGGACGTGAATTACAATTCTGCATTCCCTAAGTACAGTGAATAAGCTCCATAAAATTCCAGTCTTTTAGCAACCTTAAGAGTGAGAGGGGCAGATCAGTATTAGTGGGTAAGGCTTCCAGTTACAGAGGACGGTAGACTGCACACATGCATTTGCCCCCATTAAAAGGAGACTAAAGTTTTTGGATTTGCTGTTTTTTCAAAGATACAATCCCACAAGGAAGAGAACGATCAGTAGCATTTCGGTAGCAGGTGAGCAGGTAAAGGAATGAGTGCAAACTGACTCAGCATGCCCGGAGAGCTAAATGCAAACCTGGCAGTGGAGAAAACCACCTGACTTACATAGAAGCCCCCACCCACCCAAAGGCTCAGGAATTGGCTGCAGGGGTGCCAGGGGAAGAAGACTAAAGGTGATGCCAAGACAGAAGGACTGGCTGGAAATCTAATAAAGAAAAAACCTACTGAAAGCTCTAGGAGAGCTCTTATGTGCTGGGCTTAGGGACCTACCTGCATCCCCACGACTGTGCTAGGGAAGCAAAGAAGAAGGGTTTTGTTTTGTTTTTTTCTGTTTTTTACTTCTCTATTGACAGGCTAGTTGCTGATTTATCCACCTAACATGATTATGCATAAAGTGGGTTGAGATAATTCACAAACGGGACATCAGACTGCTATCAGAAAAGGAGAAAGACAGAGAGCCTACATGAGACACGAGGCAACAAAGTGATCTGGTCAGTATAAAGGACAACGCACACCTAATTCATATTTCATGTTCTTTATAAAAACTAGTCACTTGAAATAAGGCAATGTGTAAAGCAGACTGTACTTTCCAAGAGGCCTGGCCATACTAAGATCACCCATCAGCATGCTTTCTTACAGTGACACTGGCACTCCTCTCAGAGGTGGGGTCTGTGTTCATTCACCTTGAAGCCAGACAAATCTAGGACTATGGCAGAAATTACAGTGTTTTTCTTCCATTCCCACTGACTTGGGAGCTGGGTCATAAAAGGCAACAGAGCTTTTGCCTGCTCTTTCTGGTTTGCTCTTGGCACCCAGCCACCCATGCCATGAGGAAGCCTCGCTGAAGCCTAGGTGACAGCGGGCACTCACTCCCAGGCAGGAGTGTGCCTTCAAGGTGACTTCAGCCCCAGTCACGGTCTGACTTCAACCCCATGACAGACCCTAAGAGAGAGTCATCTAGCTGAGCCCAGGCAACCCCTAGAACTGTTCAAGGTAGTAATAAAATGATTTTTGTCTCAAGCCATTGAACACTGAATGGAAGGGAGCTGTTACACAGCACCAAGTGACTGCAGTAACGTGAAGCTTGTTAATGCTTCCTCACAGATCAACAGTCACTTTAAATACTACCTCCAAGGAACACTTTTTCTTGTGTGGGGAGGGAGGGAGCAGTCAGCCTACTAGGTCTTTGGGGGAAATCACTTCTCACCCATTTTTAGTGCTTGTGGTGCAAACCAGACTGCCCTGAACCTCTGAGTTTCAGGAGTGAACAAATAATCCAGGGAGATCTGGCCCCATGACTCCGGTGATTATTTCAGAGATGGGTATGTAACCCCAGCCATGCCAACTAGCGTCTGTCCTGGGACTCTCTTCACCCAGCTTGCAAGTTACAAGAAGATGTGAGTCTAGCACTGATGGTGGCCATTGTTGCCTGTCTAAAAAGGAAGCCCATACAAAAGAAAGCAATACCCCCAAAACAATGTCCTGATGACAGCAAGACCCTGGGATCCAGCCATGACTGTAAGTGCCATCACCCTAGGATTTCCTATTTCATGAGCCAGTGAATTCCCCTTTTATCTTAATCTGGTCAAGATAAACATAAGGTTTAAAACAATTTCAGAAAAACCTAAGTAACATGGCTATCTTAAAACCTTTGTGGATCTAGAAGGGGTATTAAAAAAAAATGCCGTTAGTTTGGGAGATATAAAATGTGTTACTTTCAGCTCTGATGGAAGAGAATCATGAATCAAGATCATGGTTATTCAAAACTCCCAAGCATATGTAGCCAACTCAGAGGTCCAGTGTAAAAGCCATAAAAAAGAGCTCGAGCTGGAAAAATATGTGCTTTACCAAGAGCTATTGTCTGAAGCCTTCACACCAAGGAAAAAAGCTTCAGGTCTCTTTAAAAGATTTCAAAATGTGACAATCTGAGTCTATAGAGTTGGAGGAGATACAGCAAGTAATCTACCAATTTGTAGATGTCTGACTCATAGCAAGTGTACACTACAATATTTGTTATCTGCAGGAACAGATTTTTAGTAATTTCCAAACTAAATATAATTAAGAAAATACACTTATACCACTGCTCATTTTATTAACATGAATAATCAAGAGCTGTTTTCTCAATAGATTTACTTTCCTAATATTGCTTTACTTAGACTAATAAAAAAGTTCATTTGTGTTCTAGGAGCACAAACCAATTAATAGCACATTTTAAACTATTTGACTTATATATTGACCTACCCACATGCTTTTCAATAATATACTGACTTGGTGAGGAAAAGCACACCCAAACTCAAATACCATCTAATACCATATCAAGTGATTTGCTGCCTGTATGCCAGGCAGGCCCTGCAAAGTTGCCACCTGCAGAAAGTGTCTTAACAGTCTAAGGGATTCTTAACATTCAATATCCCTAATCTAGATAAGACCCTAGCAGAAAAGAATAACCAAAAAGAACTTTTCCTCCACTTTTAGAGATGATATAAACAAAAATAAGTGTAAGTGAACAAAACTAGGCAAGGTCCCAGACAAGCAGTCTAGGATTTCTGACAGAGCTCCAAGTCCTGGAGTCCTGGAACGTTTGCCCATTGTTCTGATTTGACTAAGTGGAAGTAGGGAACAGCCAGGACTAGGTGGGCACACAGGTGCCCAGCGTCAACCCCAGAACTCGATCTGTCAGCATTGACTCATTTTATCATCTCTCTGTTTCTGCTCTGGCAGGGCTGGCTCAGAAACTGGACAGATCAGGTCTAGGAAAAAGGGACTATATCAAGGACTAAAAAGTGAGCATGAACTCAAGCCAGAGCCCGATCCCTTACCACCTCCCCTACCCTCCAACTCTCCCTGCCCTGCCACCTTGTTTTCCAGTTCAAAATTCCTGGGGATTAGCTGACCTAGAACATCATGATTCTGTTTGAATAAGGAAATGTGTTAGTGCCCTACTTACATTCCTAGTGCAAACTCAAAATGCTGTTTCTACTAAAACAGCTTTTTGAGGGCAGGGATTGCATTTTCTCTCTCCCCCCGCCAAAGTGTCTGATACACAGCTCATTAAATTATTTATTGAATGAGCACGGACTGTATAATGATGAACGACAATACCGTATTGCCCAACGGTCATTTTCCTGAGAGTCCCAACTACTCTAAAATCAGCCAAAACTCAGAAAGTCTCTGAATATCCAAAATAAAGATCAAAGCCTACGTATGAAAGAGTTCCTCATAGGAAAGCCCCTCAATCATTTACATAGTCTTTTGTCTTAAACAAACAAAATTCAAGTTTTTCTAGTTTCCTAACTGATTGAAGATGAGCAACAGCAATTCCAGAATGAGGGCAAGAGGTGGCTACGTATTGACAGCTGCAAAAAAAGGGCGACAGCTGACCCACTAAAGGAGAAAGGCCCAGCAACTTGGGAGCCCTGTACTGGAGGCGCTGCACAACCCTAGAGATCACAGCAGCCCATGAAGGTGCTTGTGTAACTGGTATACAAATTCATTCATTCCATGTTTGGAAGTGCTTGCTTTGTTCAAGGTTAAGTGCTATGGAAGAGAGATTGATATAGCATAGTCCTGTCACAGGTGCTTACTGGAAACACGACACCTACAAATAACTATTACCAAGTGGAGAGCACTAAGTGCCACCTGAGTTGAAGTGTGCTCAGTGGCTCAGAGAAGGCAGACGTTATTCTTGGTGGCCCTGACAACAGAACTGGGTACAAGTTTGCACTTGGATAAAATGAGCTGTAAAATACATTCCACGCAGAGGCAAAAGTGGGTAGAGGTTTGAGGTGGGGGAGGCAGCGCATCTATTCTGGCTGGAGAGCAGGTAAGGCTAGAAAGGCAGGTCTTGGATAGCGAATGCTCATAACTGATATTAACGATCACCACACGTTGTCGAAAAGTTAACAAAGAGGCATATAATTTTCAACTGAAGACTATCCTCACTTTTCAGGTAACTTTTGTAAAAAAAAAAAAAAAATTTTTTTTAATTCCATTTTTGATGGCTTGAGCACGTAAGAATCAGGGTTCTTGGTTGCAACAACAGTTTCTAGCTAACCTAAGCATAACAGGAAGCTGCTGAAAGAACTGATAGGAAGACTGGACACCTGAGCTTGAACTGCGCAGCAGGAACAATCTGGCCAGAATGCTGTCTCTGCGTGTGCTGGCCACAGCCACTTCTACAAGAATGCTGACGCTACAGGGGACCGAATCTCCCCTTCCCTTCGTTATTGTTTCAGTTCTCGAATACATGTCTTTTTTAACATTATGTGAGATGAAATGGAAAGTACACGTGAAGTCATTGCGCTACACACTAAAATGCAATGCAAGGCAAAGTCCTTGTGGAGTTTCGGAGTTGTAAGCTAAACTAATCGCCTTTTTCATGGAGCACCATTATAACTTGGAAGAAGAACAACAAATTATGGTTATTTAGACATTTAGACTTGGGTATTTGCCAGACATTCTTTTTTTTTTTTTTTTTAAGATTTTATTCATTTGTCAGGGAGAGAGAGCAAGCGAGTACACACAAGCAGGCAGAGAGGCAGGTTCCCTGCTGAGCAAGAGGCCCGATGCGGGACTCGATCCCAGGACCCTGGGATCATGACCTGAGCTGAAGGCAGTGGCTTAACCCACTGAGCCACCCAGGCATCCCTTGCCAGACATTCTTTAAGGAGGAATGAAATGAGCTTGTCATTTCAAGGAAAACAACTTACATTATATTATATATATAATAATACATTATAGTATTTGTTGCCTATGATAAAATTTGAGCTTTCAGGTAAAAATTGGAATTTTGGAAAATTTATATATGTCACTGAGAGTTTCCCAGTGCTCAAACCCAGTGAGATCACTGGTGATATTAATAGAATGTGATTTTTTTTTTATATTATAAATGCATCGACATTTGGAAGATCTGCATAAGCCGGTGAATGACTATGTTCCAAATGACCAATGTTATAAAGTGTGATGTTAAAAAATAAGTTATGGATTAAAAAAATTCAAAGTGCAAGATACAAACTAATGTATTTCGATGTAACAGAATACGAAAAGTTTGTTGACATGGTTTCAGATTACACAATGCCACTAACCAAGCACTTAAGAAAATACCATTTGCTGAGCTCTGTTACAGTATCAAAATATCCAGAGTTATTTGAAAAAGCTACTAAAATACTCTTCCCTTTTCCAAGTACATATTTGTGTGACTCTGGGTGTTTTTTGGTATACTTTAATCAAGACTGTATCACAACAAATTGAATACAAAAGCAGGTAAGAGAATCCACCTGTCTTCTATTAACCTAGACATGGAAGAGATTTTCAAATAAATGTAAATCAATACCACTCTGAGCATCCTGGTGCCCAGATCTTGGTTTCAAATACGATTTTCTAACAAAAGGAACTAGTGCTCTTTGGAGAAATGGCTGATTCTAGTACTGGAGCTGAAAATATACAAGATAAGCCTGCAGTATCTTACAGTGTCAAAAACTCAGGAAATGCTTCAAACAAACAAACATGAAAACGGAAGTATGTGAAAGGGACATGGGACCCAACAGAAGCGCTCCCAAAAGCCAAAATTGGAACAACATAAGCAAAAAGATAAATAAAATAGTATTGGATTATACCCCAAATATATAAATATCCATAGATCCATACTGATATAGACTGCTTACATAAATAAATGGGAGAGAAGTGTCAAATCTCCTGTGCAGAAAAATTCCAAGTAAATTACATAAATACTCTACCCTCAAAGAGATGGAGCCCAAGTCCCAGCTCCTTGATATGAGCTGTGCACAGAGCCTTCCTTCCAGGGTACAGTACAATATGCCTATTACAGTACAAAAAAATCAGTACTCCAACACAATTCCTAATCTGTTGGAGCTGTCAGAAAGATAAATCAAAGCTTTTAGCATATATATGTATAACTAATCAAACGAAAGGCTCCCCCCCCCCCAAATTGGACCTTGAGATGAAAAGCCACTATTCACTGATGAAAATGATGAAAACAACTGTAAGAGCCACAGTTCACTCAGAAACAGCTGGTCTGTTAGCATATGAGAAGTTCACATCATACTCAGACAAAAGGTGCAGTGTAGTGTTACATTGCAGCCCACCTGCTACACTAACAAAATTTGGCTCCTACTGTTCAATGTCCATATTTGAGAAATGTTCAGTACAATAAAAGAGAAATATGTTTAAAACTGACAGAGGAGAGAAGTATTTGTTCACAACAAATATACCTTTAAAAAATACAAGTTGAAAGCTAACACTGACTCAATATCTTAAATTTTCTTTTTCCCTTTCCCAGGAGAAACAGGAAAATTCAAGATACTGTATGGGCACTACAGCAAGCTTTGTCTCACTCTACGTAAGACAGTTTTAAGCTGCACCCCCACCGAAGAATTCCAATTCAATATAATTCATGTTAAGTACTTTATTTTTTTTAAATATTTTTAATTTTATTATTTTTTAGGGGAGGGAAAGGCAGAGGGAGAGAGAGAATCTTAAGCAGGCTCCACACCCTGCGCAGAGCCCCACTCAGGCTCAATCTCACTGAGCCTAGTCTGCGATCATGACCTGAGCCTAAATCAAGTTGGGCACTTATGCGAGCCACCCAGGTACCTCAGTGCTCAGTACTTTAAGTATTAAAATATTCGGATGCATTTATTATCAAAGTGATTTTTTAAAATGACTTCACCTTCTTGTAACAGTATTTCAACAAAGTCTCTTTTGAGAGCACTGATCTCTAAATTTAGGAAAACACCCTACTCTTAGATGCTTTTCTTCCAAATCTTACCACATTAAGAATTTTGCTAGAGCTACCTCAATTAACCAGAATACAGCTTGCCACCATCCCCAGCTAACTACGTTTTGACAATTTTTAGAACAAAAAGGAGCACATCAAAAACAAGACTTCAGAACTCTAAAAAGTCTGGGTTCATTTATTCAGCAAAACACAAAGGCTCAGAACAGGTCCCCAACCAGTTAGTCTTACCTGGCAGGTCACCAAGCTGGCAGTGGTGCCCAGGCCAGTCTTCCCAAGTTTGCTGGAATTTCCAGCTGGAGTTAAAGCAGTAGCAGCAGGCCTTCCCTTGGTTTAGGAGCCATTCTCTAAAACTTTTTTTTCTGCGCAACTGGTCTCTTCCCCCACCTCCCACCTCGGCTCTTTTAGCTTGCTGCCAACCACCCTCCTCTCGGAAATCGCAGGATTAGCAAATGAAAGCAAGCTCTGGAGAAGACAACTAGACGGCCAGTACACCTTTTTAGTGATCTAAGGCTCAAGAGTCCGCGCAAGGATAACAAATCATCAAGGACTAACGCATAGCAGTCTCTTCAACCTCTAAAGATCCCAGTATCTTCTACTTACTACAACCAAAAAGTATATGAATGTATTAGGGGAAAAGTTTTGTCTCCAATTTTGAAGGCGAAGGGTTCCTTCTATTCATTCAAATTAACCAGAACCGGAGCATATTACTTACTGATCAAGACTTTACTGTTCTTTTCCGTAAACATTTTCCTCCGAATAAACACTTAGGACTTGTCTCCTATAGGAACTTAGCTCCTTACAATACTCTCCACCAGGGCAGAACGCAGACTGACTTTATAACAACCTTTTTTTCCCTGTTTTTTGTTTGTTTGTTTGTTTGTTTGTTTTGTAAGGCAAAAAACTGACCTTCCACCCTCCCCCCTCCCCTTTAATTCACTGCCCGATGTTAACATTTACGTCCAAATCTGTCCTCCAAACAAGGGGAAGAGGGGGAACGGCTGTTTTTAGCGCTCCAACCCCCCACAGCTCCTAGCACGAAGCCTGGAGAAAGTGGACATTCAATAAACGCCCAGAAACAGTTCAGTTCTCAGATAACAAGCTGGGGCATTCCAAAAGACTGGCTCCACCCCCGCAGGGTCAACCGTCGGTCCCCGATTCCAGACCGCTCGGGTGAAAGAAACCTCGACGCTCACACACCCAGGAAGAGGGCAACGAAGCCACCCGACCCCATCCCGCTGGGCGGCAGATCCTCTGCTAACCCGCCGGCCTGTAGGTCCTGGGCCTTGCCCACCCCACCCCGGCAACCAACGCCGCCAGCCCGCGTCTCCGTGGGGGCAAGAGCCCCCGCCCCACCCGGCAGACAGCCTGGCGTCGGGACCTGGGGGACGCCTGCGCAGAAGAACCCGCCTCCCACCCGCCTGGCCCCTCGGCTCCGAAGGGTAACAATACCCCTTCAGAAAGACCGGCAGGGTAGGCGGGGGTCACCGGTCCGCGTCTGCGCGCGCCCAGACGCCTAGGAGCGAGCCGGCTCGCGCCGCCCGCCTAGCTCTCCCGGAGCTCAACGGTCTCCACGTGAGCGCGCCCGCGCGCTCCACCGCCGCCGGTGCTGACAGGGTCGCCTCACCTGAGCCGGGCTCCGCCCCCCCTGCTCGCTGGAGGAGGCGGTGACCCTTCTCCGATCCGGCCTGACAGTGTCGGAGGAGGCGGGAACGTCCAGGCCGGCGTCTCCGCGATGGGATTTCCTCCCCCTTCCTCCCACCCCGCCTCTAGTCCCCCAGCTCCTTTAGCCCGTTCGCCGCCGCACTCTGAGAACACCGCGGCGGCGGCCGACAGTAAACGGAAGTGACGCCCGCGAGAGTGCCTACTCCGCTCCATTCCTCCGGCCCCCGGCCGAGCTACAGCCAATAAGGAGGGGCGGGGGCGGGGCCGGGGCAGAAGGGCAGCCAGCCGGCGCGCGGAATCCGGAGGAATTTACTCGGCCCCCGGAACGCCGACCAATCGACGGCCCCAGGAGCTCGCTGTGTTTACTACCGACCGAATCCGTGAGCGCTGTGACCAATCACCATTTGCCTTACAACACGTAAAACTGTTATCAAACGCCTTTTAAGGCGGGATTTATCACTAAGCGGCTCTAGGTTTGGACTGTAGAAAAGAGACCGTGGGCTGTAGCCAATCGAGAGCCGTTATGGTTGAGGTAAACGGGTTTTCCGCCTCATTGTGCCAATCGCAGTCGCGGCTGCTTGCGGTCTGCGCGAGCCGCGAGGCCAGGCAGCCGGGGAGTGTGTCCCACCATTGGCTGGACCTGAAGGATTTCCCCACCCTCGCGGCGGCTGGCCGCTCCGTGACCGCCGGCTCGCTCCCCGAAGCCCACAGCCGCAGCGGGCCGGAGCTCGAGTCCTTCCCATCTCGTAGGCTTTGGGAAAAATAAAATCCCGAGACGCTGTGTGGTTGAATTAGGCCACAATCCAGCCTAAAATAGCTAACCCAAAAATACGGTCCGTCTGACAGCACTTGGGTGCGATCCCGCCCCACGTCCGGTCCCGGCGGCGGCGTCTCCCACCGCGGGTGCCCGAGGAGTCCGGCGGGGGTCCCTTCGCCCCGCAGTCGGTGCTGAAGGTGGGATCAGCCTGCCGGCTCCAGAACCGACGTGCAAGGCTCGCGCGGACTTAACGCGGGACGCTGTCAAAGGAGAGCCGGCTCCGGGGCGGCTCCCGAGCTCCCCGGCAAGCTCGGACGCAGAGCCCGAGCAGCGTCCCGGGGTCGCCGGGCGCTGGGCGGGGAGGAAGCCCTCCTTCCTCTGTGAAGAGAGAAGCAAGCCCTTGAGGGGCCTTCCGGCGGGAGCTGTGCGTGGCTCGGGAGACAAAGGCAGGCTGGCGATCGCCGCTGGGTTCTTTTCGGGGTGGGGTGAGGCAGGGGTAGGGGGAGACTTTTTAAAAAATGGAACACCCCATTTCTTCAGAACTTAATACCTAAGTACCATCATGGATGATCCATCCATTCGGGCGTTATAGGTTGGAAAAGTTGCCCTTTGGATTTATTTCTTTAAGGCCTCAATGAAGTCTGATGGTAAATTCTGTTAAGATTGCCTGACGTTTTAAGAGTCCCCACACGTATTTTACTGCAGATTGGGCAGTAAAATTGTATGTATGGAATTCTGACAATAACCTAGGCCATGTGAGAGGTCTTTTCATATACAGGATCCTTACAAAAATACTGTGAGCTAGGTACCTTGGATTTACAAACTGGAAAAAATTAAAAAGATCTACGTATTTATAACTTAGGAAAGTGTGAAAAGGCCCCTGCTATGTTGTTGGTGGGAGTATCATTGATGTTCTAATTGAAGACTGGTAGTATCTCTCAAAATTTAAAATATGCGTTCATTCCCTTTTAGCTAGCAATTCCTTCTAGAAATGTATTCTGAAATATACAAATGTGGAAATATATACAAGAGGCTTTTGATCACAGCTGTTGGTAGAAGGAAAAAGAAAACAATCTGAGTGTGCATCTACAGAGGATTACAGAAAATTGATCTATACATATTATTGCTCCTTCATCTCTAATGATCCCAATACATATAAAACAAAATTAATAAAAACCTGCCTGTGGAGGTACACATAAAAGTTTGTAAAGATACAGCTAAGTATCAAGGATTCAATCAAACTGTTCACAGTAGTTACCTCAGTGAAGGAGGAGGTGATAAGGAAATGTTTAAGTGTTTAATTTTTAGTCCTTATATACTTCTGTATTAATTTAATTTTGTAAAGATTTACTTATTTATTTTTTTAGACACACACAGAGAAAATGAGAGAGCACAGGCAGGGAGAGCTGCAGAGGGAGAAGGAGAAGCAGGCTCCCCGCTGAGCAGGGAGCAGGACTTGATCCCAGGACCCCTAGATCAAGACCTGAGCCCAAGGCTGACACTACCCATGGGCCCTGATTTAATTTTTTTTTTTAAGTGGGGTCTGTGGTGGGCTTGAACTCACAAGCCTGAGATCAAGACCTGAGCTGAAATCAAGAGTCAGGTGCTTAACTGACTGAGCCACCCAGGCACCCCTGTATTAATTTAATTTTTATAATAATCTTTATTATTTTAATAGTATTTATGAAAGCCAGGAATTTCAAGTTGTTCTGGTTTTTAAATCATTGACAATATACTTTTTAAATTAAGATATAATTTTTTCAATGGAAGTATCAAGAAGATTCTTTTTGAAAGTAGACACTTGATTCTGAGACTCATAAGGGAAGACTCATAAGGAAGATTAGCTATGAAAATTCTGGAAAAAATTTATAAGACAGCTATAGCCCTAACAATTACAAATATATTTCATAATGCTTTGTTTTATAAGAAAAAAAAAAAGGAACTTGAAGAGTGGATTCTGAGAAGATGACAGGGATGGAAGCACCAAGAATCTGTTTCCTCACCCGGACAGTAATGGCACTGCAGAATCTGTCTGATGTAACTATTTTGGAACTCTGGAATCTATTGAAGGCAACCTCTAGGGTAAGGCTTGGGTGATAAATTGCAGTCAATTTTGGTCAGTTTTGGTTCTTAGCACAGTAGAAGCTACCCATCCCTCACCCCTCAGTCACATGTCAGGCACTGTGCACTGGTTCCTGGAGACCCTTGCATCAGCTTGTGGGAACCAAGATGGGCAAAAGAGGACTCTGTCCTCCAAATATTCGGCATCACTGATTGCTGCTTTTGATACAGAGGTGCAGAAGAAGAGAGGGGCACCCGTTGTTGTACCATAACCCCCCTCCTCCATTGTTGCAAGCCCTCCAGCTGGAGCAACTTCCAGGGGATTTGAAGCAAAAACTGACAAAATTGGAGGGAGAAACAGTTCTACAATAATAGTTAAAGATTACAGTATCCCTTTCTCAATAATGGATAGGACAGTGAGACAGAAGTAAGGAAATAGAAGACTTAACACAATTAACCAACCACGTCTAATAGACACGTCCAGAACACTCTACCCAACAAAAACACACACACATTCTAGGGGCGCCTGGGTGGCTCAGTGGGTTAAGCCGCTGCCTTCGGCTCAGGTCATGATCTCAGGGTCCTGGGATCGAGTCCCACATTGGGCTCTCTGCTCAGCAGGGAGCCTGTTTCCCTCTCTCTCTCTCTCTGCCTGCCTCTCCATCTACTTGTGATCTCTCTCCGTCAAATAAATAAATAAAATCTTAAAAAAAAAAAAAAAAAACCACACACACATTCTTCTCAAGTGCACCTGGGACATTTTCCAGGATAGAACATTTGTTAGGCTATAAGTTAAGTCTCAGTAGATTTTATTATTATTTTTAAAGATTTTTTTTATCCAAGATAGAGCGAGAGCAACAGAGAGAGATAACCTAGATGAAATGGACAAATTCCTAGAAAT